GATTTTGTACATTTACAATCCTACACTGTTTATGTTCAGAACTTTTTACTATTTGCTTCTCCTTAATATATGATGAAACTGCTCGAGCAATCTGAGATACTTTAGACAGTATAGGGGTACATATCCTAAAAAAAGGGTGGCATTCTTATCACATCACGCGCCACACGATGCACACGTGTACAAAATTGTACTTTGATCACTGTAGTAAATTCAACGCTTCCTCCGCCTCGCACGAAATATGCCTAAGATATCTTGATGGGAGTTTTGGAAATCCTATGTACTTAATGTATAGAAGTCTAGAACAACGAGGTCATGTCCTTGGAAATCAGTTACTTTTCCAATGCACATCACTGGAAATGGGCGCCATGTCGAGTTCCCACTGTATGATCATACACGTGTTACAGATTCTTCTCTCAGGAAGTAGTGTTATGTACCGTAACGAAGAGAAGAACACTTTGTAATGGAATAAAAAGGTATTTACTACACATGTAGTTGTTTGAAGTTGCATTTGAACTTGTATCTTTAGTTATAGGTATCTGTTCAGTTTTCCTCATGTTGAAAAATCTTCCAGACTCAGTGTCTTGTCTAAGTTGCCACGCATTTACTTGCTTTTGATGTAAGACAAGCCTTATCGTTGAGTTCAGTTTGTTATTGTGAAATTACATATCGCACACGATTTCCCATCGCCCACACGTAACTAGATGCAAGAAAATTAAGGCATGAAGTGTTGAGAATAAAAAAAATAAGTCATCCTAAGGCATAACTCTACATGTATCAAGCAATTGAACGAATGGAACGATAACAGTTCGATTGAATAATTTCCATGCCTATTTACAAACAGCTTTAGAGTATCAGGTATTTGTTCAAAAGTGTCAAGCGATTCCACAAATTCTAATTTACGAGATCAACTAGCTAGGGCACACCAGACCTGAAAGGTTCTTTCAAACTTCTTAAGATTATCAGGTATTTGTTTAGAAGTGTCAAGCGATTCCACAACAGTTCTACTGATTTTCTAATTTACGAGATCAACTGGTTGAGGTACACCACAAAGTAGCTATGTTTTCGTGGCATTTCCTAGTTATGCATAAGGGTGGAATTTGGTCCACATAAAACATTCAAAATGATCAAAACCCTCATTAGCATTGCACGATCTTCTTCTACCTTTGACTGACCGGCATGTAGTCTATTTAAGACTGCGCCTGATTTTTTTTTAATAAGAGTCAAGAACCGAACGATTTTCTAGTATGCGTAGGCTGATAAAGTCGGTCCACTTCAACACCAAAATGATTTGTAGAAGCGCCAATACTTTTAAACAGACATCGAGTGTTCTCATTAGGTTTTCATGAAATTTTCTGTGGGAGTTTGGCTGAGAGTTTGACTGAGAAAAAACCTGTTAGATTGTCGAGAATATTGCAACTATGAGGTAGGCCCGATTTGCATGTTCGGACAATTGGAAAGCAACATGATTTTTGTAATCGCTTGTTTTTTTAGATAACCTTACTATTGGGAGGAAATTTCTAAAAAACATTTTTGACTGTTGGGTGCATTTAGCCGCGATGATTTGAAAGGCCACCGAACATGCTGATGACTACGTAAAATAAAAAACAACAACTAATGGTGTATTTAGAAGGCAGAAGCATATTTTTTCATAACTTTGTTTAGTTACGCCGGTGAACACTAACTTTGGTCTTCTTCATGAGCGAGATTCTTATTATTTGTTCTTTTAAGGTATTTAAAACTTGATTTACCTCCCAGGATTATCTGAGGAAAATCACTTCCAAACACTTAACAGTAAGACGTAATATTCTCTCTCGCTTAGTCGATGAAGTAAGTTCTCATCCAGGTGTTTCGCTTAGGGTAAATCGTTACTTTTTTTAGCAGATCCGGACGAAAATTCACGATATCCTCTTGTTTTCTGAACAAATTATTTGAATCTTTGGTTCAAGCCTAATTAAAGATTCTGGGATTAGTTGAATGGAAAAGCACACCTGACAACCGGACGAAGCGGGGGTCAATCTCGCCCTCAGCTTGAACGTGCAATGAATTCACAGTGGAAAATACATTCTTTGGTAGGAAAAGGTTAGATCTTCTTTTGATCAACTAAGGGAGTGAAAGTATGACCGTAACTCGAAACTGCTGAGGTAGGTTTGTTTCAGTACATGTCGCATAAAAGTAGTTTGTTTCCTATACTGTAAATCCCATGGTGCTCAAGACATATTTATCAACTGGTCCGTTATTTAAATTCAAAACTTTCTCTACATGTGGATGATAAATCGTTAGGTCTATAAAATATTTTACTCAAGCAGGTACGTTGGAGTCAAACATACATATTAGACAAAAACATAAGCTGGGCCGTATAAACAATGGCATCATGAGAAAATATAGGGCATTTTCCTCCTTGCTTCATGCATTTTCACAAAAAGTAGTAGATTGAACAGTTTCGGGCTGTCGAGAGATGGTTTCTTAAAAATCTTTCAGGCATAAGTGAGTTTTTCTTTCTAAAATAAGAGCGAATACGATAAGAGACCTTGTATGAATTAATTTTGTTTTCGAATTCTTCTAGGTTCCTTCCAAGACAATTAATCACATCCCATATACAGGACAGTAATGTCCACCAAAACAAAACAAAAAAACACGTCGTTGAGTACGGGCTTCTGTAACACATCCAAGTCCTATATATCTACGTGCTAACTATTTTACCATTTACTTTGCTTGGAATTATTCTTTACAATTTAATACTTCAGTGAGAAAAGAAACCAAGATTCAATTAGGCAACAGACAAGTGCCAATTCTTAAGAAAATAGAGGAAGGAAGTGGATCCTGTCGCGTAGAATCTCCGGTCACATCCGGGACCTTTACAGGCCTCACTGGCGACTCAGTCAACTGTAAAATCTTTAAATATGGCGAAAATATAAAGACTATGTGCGCATTCGATCGATGTGGGTAAGTTATGGCATGAATAAAATCGAGACACTGACGCTTTTCTTATGGGCAGCACCTGAAAATAAATGTCGATCACCTCGACATTACGGTTCTTCCCTCGTACTGTTCTCACATCCGTCGCTTGTTGTGGTTTTTAGCCCATAAAAACGGCCATTTCATGCCTGAAATCGTATGGAATCCACGCCTGGAATATCTCACTAGCCAGAGCCTCACCAAAATAGAGTCGATCCTGCTGTGGGCAGAACTCGAAATATTTAGGCCTTTTATCCCTCTTTAAAGCCATCACAACCTTTAAAAGCGGGAACCTGAGTAACTTGTGTTTTTTAACTTTCTTTCTGCTGTGTCTGTGCCACGTGGGTTTTTCCTCGCAAAGAAAAAGCATGAGAAAGCGTGTTTTGATAGCCACATTTCTTCGACTACAGCCGCCATATTTGTTTTTCTTTCAAATTTCCTGCCTTGTTCCCAGTACTTCGCGTTATTTTTCCGACCAAATGCTGACCTGATCGGCGGAAATCGGCCGACAGTTACCGATCGATTGTAATTTGAATACACTAAAGATATCGGCAATGCCGACTGTACTCGCGCGAAGCACGCGCAATTAGCGAAAAACTTGTCACAAAGAAACATGCTTCTTCGCGAGGAAAGAGCCACGCGGCACAGACAACAGAAAGAAAGTTATCCTGTAATTAGCTACCCCGCTCAAGCGAATATTTAGGCGGCCCTCTTTATTATGCCTTCATCAACACAATTAATAGGAATGGTACATCAACGGAACGAAAATTCGGAAATGTAAAAAACAAAATGATGATAAAGCAAGAAAAACCACTCCACAAAACAATCTTAACTATGTTCGTATATGCAAAAAGCTACTTCTAAGGGAAACTGACAATCCCTAGTCATTGGGTATTTAATTTCGAGGGCGTGGGGACGGTCGTAAGACACGAATGAATATAAATGACAACAGCTCGAATATTGTAGGTACCCTACCGCTAATGAAGAAATTGTAACAACATACTATGCAACGCCCCAAAGAAAGGGTTACCTAACCCATGATAAATACAGAATTAGAAGAAATCAATCGAAATAGATTGAAGCCGATAACATTGAAGCTCCCGAGGATAAAGTCTTCAAGGTACTTTCAATATTACCATATCTTTTGATATTATTTCCATTACAAAATTCATTTCGTATTTCCACTGTTAATCCGAGGAAGACGTTACTTAAAAGACTAGTTTAATGTTCTTTCACAAGGTCAAAGCTAAGTGGGGATGGGGCTGCTTTAACCCACAACAGTGGCCTTGTTTTTTTCATTCCCACTGTTGGATGATCGCTAGGCTGTCGTGTCTAGTTCAGGTAATATAATTATGTGCACATTTGGCAGCATCTCTTATGAAGGGAATGCCATTTATTACAAAATAAACCTTGTTTACCTTTAATTTGTCCAGGAAGTCATACAATCTCAGTGGTTGCATGTAAGGGGGACTATGATACTTTAAGAACCAGCCTCCAAAATGTCATTGAAGAAGTTAACTCCCTCTCAAAAGAAAAACTCCTTGGGTAGATGGAAAGCAACTGAAAATCCAGCTCTATCTTGATGGTGACTACAAGGTTAACAAATCCAGACATAACTATTTTCCATCCACCTTTTTTTGAGAGGAACACATACATGTATGTGGTTTATGCCTTTTTTTACCTGTACCCCCTTAAAAAGCCAGATATTATAAATCTGGTTCACTTTTCATTGTATATTATCAATCAATTCATCATTAATTCAAGCATAGAAAAAAAGGTAAAAAATTGTTCAAATAAAAATGTTATTAATATTGCAATGCAAGTTTTTCAAGTTCAATTTAAGGCATTCTCAGTAAAAATTAATAATTTACTGTTACATATCTTTTTTTTCCTCCAGTTTCTTCTACTCTGTATGGGTATGAAGGCTGCAACATGTAAACATTCATGTGTTTGGTGTACATGTAGCAATGAAGAACGGTAATATCTGTGAGTCAAATACAATAACTTTATTGACACTTCCATGGTGGAGCTTTTCAGTGACAATACATAATTTACTTAAAATGATGATTTACATAACAACAAAAACTAAATACAACTGTATCAGTAAATACTTACTTACACAATAAATTCTCAATCATTGGATGTAGCCATACACACAATTACCATATGGGCCTCAACAACTGCAACACTCATATTTAAATTTTATTATTTTATAGGAATGACTTCACCAAGCCTTTGACTTTTTTCTTGAAACTGAAACACAATTTAAACCCTGGATGGTATAAGGATCCTGGATGCAGCACACCGCCTCTTTTTGACGTACCACTTGAAAGATTCATGATTGATGAGCTCCACATGGTTTTGCAGATTACAGATATTCTAGAGAAGGGCATTATCCATGAAGTTATTAGCTGGGATGAGGTAAATGAATTAAAGATAAAAAAGACTTGCCAGTAGTGTAAAGTCTACAATGTAAATTAAAGCAAATTTGAACAACAGCAGTCTGCTTTAATTTCTTGTTCATTTATTATGAACATAAAGAATAGATCTTGTTGCTACTTAGAAAGATGATTTCAAGAAATTAAGCAAAGAGCAAAGGGGAATACATCTGAAAACATTCCTTGAAGCTGTTAGAGAGTGTGGTGTATCTCTGTCAATTTGGACAGTCAAACAAGGAAATTTAGACTGGACATCTCTTATGTGAAATGAAAAGAAGAAACTGTGAAGAAGCCTCCCCTCTAAATTCTTCTCCTTTCTACCTCCTGAGGTTTGTGAACAGCTGACCAAATTGTGGAAATTAAGTACAATTATACTGTTTTGAGTTGATTTGCTTCTAAATCTTGCATGAATTTCAATTTGTTACCTGCTTTTTTATCGTTATTTGTTTATTTATTTTTTGAAATATTGCATCTGTTTATTATGTACAGGATTTCAAAGAACTTTATGACATATTTGGAAGTTGGAGTCCGTCTCAGAAAGATGGCCTGGATTTCCCAAGCTAAGTAATAATATGGTCATCAATATATTCAGACAGTCTACTTTCAGTGCCAGCTGCAATTAAACATTCTGACTGAAATATTTATTTCTATGTAGTTATATATATTTATTCTATTTCCTGTGGGTAAAAGAATGGGCTCTTCTGCTTTGCAGTTTGAAATTAGAGGGCCTGAATAAGCCAAAGCAAATCCCATAACACCTTACATACACATTATGTTATGCCACCTTCCTGATTTACTGCAAGAAATGGGATCTGTCAAGTCATTTACTGGCCAGGGTATGCATATCATAGTATAGCTACATCTCTACTACATACGCCATGCGAAAATACCTGTATTCAAGGATTACAAGTTTCATTAACATGTACAATGTAAGTGCCACACTTTTAATCCACTGGTAATCAATATTTTTCAATCTGTCCTCTTTATTTCTCTGTCATTTTGCAGGTGTGGAGAAGAAAAATGATGACATGTATTAATACTTTCAAAGAAAGTGTGCTCAATGGGATAGTTGTTGCCAGATTTTTCTGGTAGAAAAAGGGATAGAGGTTTTGGAGCATGAGGGATGTTCCCGTAAACATAGAAGTTACCAAAAGAGGGACATCTATTGGGAACAGGGAAAGAGTCTAGTGGCTAAGAATGCTGTTAAAAATTCTATTGCAGAAGCATCACAAGCTCTTTCCACATAGGAATTACTGCTGTCCTCAGGTTGTTGAAATTCCTGTACATCTACTTCAATTGCAAACAACAGCTGTCATCAGATCAGTGAAAGTTACACCCTGAGTGACCTCAAGAAATTGCAAAAAAAAAAAAAAGAACTAGTTGCTATTTTTCAAATTAAATTAGACAAACCCATCACTTCAGATATAATGGCATGGCAAAATGGTAACTCTACCTGAGGCCTGGGAGGAAGAACTGCCAGAAAAATTAGGTGGGGGTGTGCAGCCCACTCCCCAAACCCTTACCTTATTTATGAACAAACCCTGTGATTTTCCCCACCCTATTTATGACCTTACCTAAAATTCAATACCCTGTTTAAGGCAGTTGATCTAAACATTATTTGTGAAGGACTATATTTGATGGTCTTATCGATAATATGAAAAAGAAGCTTTTTTAAAAAAAAAAAAAAAAAAAAAACTTATTTCAAGACCAAAGTGCAAAAAACATACCCTGTTTCTGACCAAAGTGGCCAAAATCAATACCCTGTTTACGACCAAAACGACTGAAAAACCATACCCTTTGGGGCTGCAAAGTGCACTCTCGATGGTACTTTTCAGTCTCTCGAAGTTCTCAGCAAAAGCACGTCCTGTGGGGGAGATGGATTTCTGAAATAGCTGGACAAAAAATGGCATGCATTTAACAGCGAGAAGCTAATCCGGTGGAAGAAAGTTTGATACATGCGAAAATCTCCTCCGAATAAAAACATTTACTTTCTCTAAATGCTTGCGCATGAAATAATCAACGGTAGCGCCGGGTGGTCTACCAGGAATCGGAAGAATTTCATTAAAATTTTGCTTTTCACTTAAAAATTACGAGCAGAGATATCTGAAAGGGAACGTGTCGAACCCCTTTGGCGTCTAAAGCAGGACTTACCTTGAAAGATCGTTATCCAAATGTGCGATTCTGACTCGAACGTGTTGTGTTCGGACCCCCAACCTCGCCACTTGATCAGATAAACAGGCTTCTCAGACTACAATAAAAATCCATTTAGAGTAGTAAATTTTTGTCGATATTTTGATGGCTTTTATTCCAGCTTTATGAAGGTTTGTTATGGCAATCGTTCGATATCCTTACCTTTGTGTTCTTTACCGCCACCAACCGCTCAGCCTTGAAGACACCCTTCAGCGTTTTCCTTTTCTTTTTTTTCTGGCCCAACATCCAGGACATCCGCCATCGACATTTTATTCAAGTCAGCACACAGGCAGCCCAAGCTCACGGTTAGCTCAATTGGTTAGAGCGCCGGATTGCGTTGTGCGGGAGGTCGAGGGTTCGAGCCCCGGCCGGACAAATACTCATGGTCTTAAAATAAGTGAGGAGAATTTGCTACCTTTCTATAATATCAAGTCTTCTCGGATAAGGACGAATAAACCGTAGGCCCCGTCTCCTGCAGGGTTAGGGGTAGGAGACGTTAATTTCCCACGCACGAGATTACTGTGTGGTGGATGTCCTCCCCTAGGGTGGGATGGGAGGGAAGGTGAGATCGTTACATGGACTGAAGCGGCTGCCAGAGGCGCCTGATAATGCTGACGTCCGATCTCAACCTTATCATTGTAACTAGACACGTTTGTTGTTTAGAGTGCTT